GACTGTGTCAACCAATAGTCCTAAGAATTTAACCTTAATAACCAACAATGAAATCAAATACAATAACACTTTGTTAAGATGCCGCTCTGTATGGCTGCTTAATCATTAGAAACCAATATCCAAGTCTACAACAGAGCATTTTTCTATGGACCTTGATTTTTCATTGTGAATAAAATGAAAACCAGTAGAGTACCTATCAGCATTTACATTACATCAATATTTCAAAAGGCTACTCAATCGATTTTTATTATAACTCAAACTTATTAATTTTTATTTTTCATATACACAGGTATCCATAAACGGGAATCGTGTAAGTAAATCATTGGACTTTTGACAAAAATCTTTACCAAAGACTCTTTATTCATTTCAGTCGAGAGAGAAAAAACAGATAGAATATTTGGTCCTCAGACTTCCAAATATCAAACTTTTTTTAGGAAATAAGAAGAGAAGAGGGGGAGGGGGTATTAAGATTTGATTCAAATGACTATTGTTCTAGTTTACCATGTATGAATATCTGAACAAATTATTTCTAGTACTCTCAGTCGTAAATCTTTTTTATCAAATGGACTCCAATACCAAGTATCTTGTGACAGATCAACCATATATTATTTACTATCACTGAGGTCCAATAAATAGTTATGTCTCCTGCTTCAATATATAACTTTTCATTAGGCATCCTTTTACGTCGTCAAAGACAGCTATTCAACCTTAAGTTTGATGAATCAGCGTCTTCTCGAATTAAGGGCACATGTCTTAGAAAATGCTCTAGGGCCTTCAGGGTCACCTGATTATCATGGTTTTCTTAACATATAACCAAAATAGACTGAGGGGACTCTAAATTTATGAAAAAATGAATTTTGGTTGTTTTTGGTAAAAATATCTTCCTTCGTTTTTACATTGCAATATAGCAAAATCTGTAAGTTATCAGTTATTTTAATAAATTTACTGCAACCCTCATACGTGAAACGGGAACCAGGTTTTTATAACAGTTTTGGTAAAATTTTGGAAGTTCAATATGCTTCTAATTTTCATTACGTAACTGACAGCATTCAACGGAAAATCACGATTAATAATGGATTCCGTTCCAAAGCAGTAATCAAATATTAATTGATAATATTTTAAAACGTAAGTGAAACTAAATCGTTCCCTCATTGATCTGCAGTTTGAAGGCCAAAGTATCAATGAATTTTGAAATATAATGGTAAAAAAGTTATGACGTTGGTACAGTGGGACAGACTATAAATGATAATCATTCATTTTCATGATATATAAATATGTTAGAAATAAAGATTTTAAAAGATAAAATGACTTTCCAATATATGATCAACTAAGTCCCATCTTACAAGTAGATACACTTAAGAATCCTCATCCAGGAATCATATTTCTTGGTACAGGGCTAATTTTCTGCTATCAGACTGTAGGTTTAATGTGTAAAAGTAAGGAAAATTTCCGAAGACTGCGTTATTTTTTATGGTTTTGGCCACATCCTTCATGTCTTATGAGGACAAAAGCCATATAACTCAAAATCTTGTTCTCTTTCATCATACTTACTCCTCCATTGCACCTGATCCCACCTCTGATATTTTCAGGGGTCCATGTTCGCTCTGCTCTCAATCTTTATTACTTCACTGGACTTTACAGTATGCTATCTGTTCGTTATCTTGATATTTCACTCATATGTGCTACATAAAAAAATTGATTTTAATTGATTCGGCAATTTTTAGATCAAGCATTTTTTTCAAAAATTTTCAACCAATTAAGAACGGTCGAAATCGGATGACAACAAATCACCTAATTTACAAATCTGACCAAAAAGTTGATTTGAAAAAAAAAAAAAAGAGAATCAATTGCAAGAAATAAATCAAGTCCAAAGACCTAGGCGAAGCACATGCTTGGAAAGTATGCATATCAAATGATATAATTATTCATTCTTATATCAAAAGGATAATTATCTTATATCAAAATATCATTCAATCAAAGGAAAATCGTGTTGTAAGTTATTAACTGCAGAGAGATGACAAAGGTCAAAGGTTAAACAATTACGCATGTAACTGAATAAAGTTTCTATTCAGCAAAACTACTGTAAAATGTAACTCTCTCTCTCTCTCTCTCTCTCTCTCTCTCTCTCTCTCTCTTGATGATCAAATTAGAGTTCTGAGCATCTTTAGGAACAATAGTTAACAGGGCAGAAAAGAGGGAAAAAACCTTGTGGGAAGATAAATCAATTTATCGAAAGTAAGTTGTCAATATTTGTTTATTTCCATCATACGTCCCACGTCGGTGGAGAACAAAGAAACTAACCCAAACAATGAATTCTAATTTTCGACACCGGCGAAGATGAAAATGTTAATGGCTATCGCCTACGAACATCTGTTAGATTTCTATCATTGGCTTAAAAATTAACATTTCTCCAAAAATTATTAAATATCAAATTTCCTTTGACCTTTAAAATCAAAACCATGCCTGCTATGGCTTACGACAGATAGGTTTGTTTTACAGGAAGTCAAATAAAGTTCCTTTTCGAATATTTCTATGATAACCAAACATTTTAAGTCTTTGCTTATTTGGTCAGAATCGCAATATTTGGTCTGAGCAGATTGAATGCATTATATATCCTTTCTATTAATTTATTTGCTTTATGACCGGATTCCATATACAAGACAGGCTAATTGACAGATAGGATAATTGAGTCAATAACCTTGAAGTACTTGACCTTTTTTCCCTCTTTCTCTCCTAGGTAGAATGCAAGCAAATCGATACGCAGGATATTCAATGTTTTGAAGTTGGATATGGAATTCATTCCAAGAGTTTTAGATATTTGTACTTGTGCGAAGCACGAATTTTGAATTTGATTTTTCTTACAACATTTCCTTTCATTTTTCTCATTGCCTCTGTCGTCATAGAGGAAAGAAATTCAAGCGGTTGAGATTACACAGCTAAGTGATTGTGGGATTAAAACGTAAACGTGGATGTCAACAACATATGGGAAACTTTGGCATTTTTGTCTGTCAGGATGGTTCATTTACTGTATCTTATGACTGGCCACGGAGTATTTTTTTAAAACTCTCTCCGTGAAGGGAAGGAAAATCTCGAGTTTTGCCGCACTTCTGATATTCTTTCACACTGTGACAAAATACTGTATGTGTACTTAAAAAACAGGCTTCATATTTTAGCAGCTTTGGCGCGGATAACGATGCGCTAATTCATGAATACCGCTAATAAATCATTCATTAATACAATACATAGCACGGACATGTGTGGCGCTAATTTATGATTACGCCAACAACTCCATACCCCTTGATTGCACTAAATTTTGAATACACCAATTTAGGTACACGTACAGTAATAATTTGATATTCTATCACACTGTGGCAAAATATAACATTTATTCAATGAATAGAGGATATTGAATGTTTTGTAGTTTTCCCGATCAGCCTTTCCACTGTCGTTCTTAACAACAAACATGCCAAAGTTCACATTTCAATGTCTACTTTGAAGTATATGTTTTGTCCATATCGAAAGCTTGTGTTCTATAGAACCTGAAAAGTGCTGCTAGAATTGTGTGGTGTTTGTAAATACACAAATTGATGAAAATTTTTCGATTGTATGTATAAAATGTAAAATAAAAAAAAGGGGGGGGTTCTGCAAAACTGGAATAATTATTTCTGTGACAGGAGAGTAGGATTCAAGCAGCACTTTTCATGGCCCAAAGATGTTTTTGCATAATGATTTTTACAAACAGAATAAAATTATCCCTGGGAAGTGTTTTTTTTTTTTTTTGGGGGGGGGGGTCATTTTTTCATTAAGGTACATTTTTCTATTTATAGACGTCACATGATGACGTCGTAGTGTCGAGTGCCTCTTTTAGCCGTCCATACAATGGATAATGATAGTAAATGTTTTATCCGAGGATTTTCTGATTTCTCATGGTTACATTTTACAAAAAAAGTTCAATTTGCCGCATAATAACAACCTGGATGTTGCCTTTAAATTAACATACCTGTGTAGTTGCATATGGAATTTATTTCACGAGTAAAACAGAATTTTTTTTTTATATTTTCACGAGTGGGAAGCACTATTATAATTATTATTATCATCATCCATATTTAATTACAAAGCATTGAATCATTTTCTTGTATTCTCCATTCGCCTCTGTCTGTTCGACACAGTATCATAGGCTGTGAGGTCATACTTGAGCGGTTCAGACGTCATAGCTAAGCGATTGTGAGATTTAAAACATTGTTAACATGAATTTAACAACAATTTGGAGAAACTTTGGCAGGTTAAGTCTCTGTCAGGATGGTTTATTTACTCTCTTTATAACAGACCAGGAAAATTCTTTTACACCTCTTTCACAAAACTTCGTGAAGAGAATGAAAATTAAGCGTTCTGCCGGATTTCTGACATTATTTCGTACTGTGACAAAATATCACTTTGATATTCCTTCACACTGTAATAAAATATCACTTTTATTACAGTATTTCACTTTTTAAAATGTAATGTAAATTACAGTATTTAAATGTTGAAAATAAATAAAATTATGGCCTTGAATATAGTCAGAGATGCAAGTATCTTTGGGTTAATATCCGTACATTCAGAATTTTTTCATCCTAATATGACGCATAGAAGAAGCAATCTAATCAAGATTTTTTAATCTTTTTACTTTAATACTTGTACTTCTAATCAGTGGTTATTAAGCGCCTTACCCAAAAGTAACATTCAACAAAAATACATTGCTTCCCAATCAAGCATGCAGGCAGGAAAGAAATTACACAAAACTGAAAATAATATCAAAACAAGGTAGGAGACGTGACATGAAGAATTGGAGTCCAACCTACAGAACTAAATGAACAAAAGACGTAGCAAATTAAGTTGATTCATCACTTATTTCACATTGGTTTGGATCTCGAACCAATTATAGCATACCACAGCACAGACACTAATACAGAGGTGGACACTGACATACATGCGTATACAGGGGAGATAACTACAATGTTTACCTGTCTAGTAGTCCGTTCAGAATACTGAAATAAAAGAGTGAAAACGTGAGTAACATTACACAAGCAGGACCAATGTGATGATCTAGCAGCAAACCAGAGAAAATATTTGTAAAACGAAACTTTTTTGGTATCATCTAACTAAAATTTGTGATTTCAACATAAAGTTTTGGTGATACCATAGGGTGTTTACATTGTGTCTGTTTCATGACCTTAAAACGGGTATACTAGTATTTTAAACAACCAGTTGATTCATTCTAAATCTTAAGAATTTGACGACTGATTGAAATGCGTTTCTTGTGGAAAACAATGCATAAATTCATGAGTTTAAGGCAACTGTCGCTTATCGTGAATGTCTCTCAGGTGTTGCAACGCAGAAAGAAGAAGTATCTATTTTGCAAATGTTCACCAGACTGTTAATTAATAATTAATCTGGTATTCATTTGATGCAACTGTTATCTAAGATTAGATCTATTTAGGATCCATATCTCCCGCAAAGTTGTTTAAAATTGAATTAGAGGCATACTCTTAAAAATATTGATTCTAACTTTACAGACAATTTGATTCCTTATGAGAACATTAACTATACATAGGAAGTATATGAAAACTGGTCTTTAACATGATGTTTTATTTACACCGTGAAGTCTGGAATCACTGCCGCTCAATCCAATCTCGGTACACTGTGACCTTGAGAAGTAAAGAACGCCAACATGCACTGGATCGATTTAAGGAAGAAACAAGCTATCAACAGTGAAAGGGAGAAAAGAGAAGAGCGATAAAGTAGTCGTACCGGGTTGTCTCTCTTAAGCTTGATTCTCAGTTACCAACACGAAATCTATATACATGTACGTATATATAATACAGACAAAACTTTGTAGCTCCTCCAGTCCTTTCACTCAGACTGGTTTAACATTGTTTTACTACGTTATACACTAGGAGTGCTTCTTCATTACGGCTTAAGCTTGTAAATACATACATATACATGTACTGGAAACGTACATAAATGAGCGCAAACAAAATTAAGTGTAATATCCCTCTGAACTGATTAGCGCAGTTGTAATTAGCGCAGCTTTGTCTTGGATTGATTGATTGATTGTTTGTTGTTTAACGTCCCTCTCGAGAATTTTTCACTCATATGGAGACGCCACCACTTGTCGGTGGAGAGCTGCAAATTTTGTCCTATACTCGGCACTTACGGCCATTGAACAGTGAGGAATCTTTTTCGTGCTAGTACCTACTGCGACACGGGACCTCGGTTTATACGGTCTCATCTGAAGGACCGGTCTCCACGTCCCACAGTGGGATTCGAACCCGCGACGTAAGGATCAACTCCTTACGCTCTAACCACTGCGCCACGCGGACGACGCTTTGTCTTGGACATGTATTAGTTTTGGTCATTTAGGAGCATGTGCATGAAATAGCTGCCATAGAAGCAGCACAAAAGGCATTGAAATATGATTTCACTAAAATAAGTATATTAACAGTATATAACAAACCTCTGGTCATGGTTTTAAGAAAAAAACAGATAGTAATATTATGGACCCGATTTTTAGGACACACAAAATATCTTTTATGTTTAAGACCTGAATAGGCAAAACTTAAACTGCATTACTGCGCATAATGAATTTCAAGAATGACAAAATTAGTTTCTATGCACAAACATCTTAATTTAACTTTTGGTTAAGCATCATTAAATATAACATTATTAATATGTGTTTACATATAAAAGTGATATATTTAGTTTTTGTTTGGTTTTTGTTTAACGTCCCTCTCGAGAATTTAACACTCATATGGAGGCGTATTTAGTAATCATGGTGGTTTCATACGCTTAAAGTCTTCAATCCCTTTTTTGAAATCCACAAAATTGTTCATAAAATATTATTTAATGCAATTGTTTACATATCTGCTCTTCTGCAAGGCACTCTCTTTTCGCTTCCGTTCCATTTATATACAGTAACGGTAATTTTTAAAATTAAGAATATGACAATCCCTCCAAAAACGAACTAGCCAAAAAAAAAAACAAAAACAAAAAAAAAAAACAAAAAAACAAAAAAAAAAAACAAACTTGTGTCAAGTTGCACCATAAAGGGACATTGAAACTCCTTATAATACATAACTCTACTACGTTTCAGAAATATTACATAAATAAGCTTGGCGACGACGCAGTTTTATTCCAAAAGCGTACTCGAAATAGATTAAAAGACTCGTCAAATTTCCGTCAGGGATTTAGTTTGAAAAAGGATGCATGTTTAATCAAACCACCTCAGTAGACCTAAGATTTTCATCATTGCTTGACTTTTTTTGGGGAAGTTGGGTCTAGATATTTACGCACATTATTTCTATACACATATATTCAGTTGACTTTTTTTTCAGCATATGGCATGAAAAAGGCCCGATGGCATTTTCTCAACCTTTCTCAACGTATTCAAATTACTAAATAATAATCAAGTTCTACAGCTCAGTTTTAATGAAAAATCTTGATCTGACAAATATATTGTACACAGTTAAAATTGTATTATAACAAATACATACACAATTGAAACTGCATCATGTTAACTACTTTATTATATTATTAATAATGAATTAACTTGGTGGATGTACTTGTACGATTTACAACAATTGTTAAGGACATACGCAAAGTATTTTACCTAGCTACTGATAATTTTTCAAGATATTCTTAATTTAAAATTATAGTGCCATCAAGTAAATTATTCTTTTTTTATAACATGAAAAAAGACACATGTATGTTTATTTGCATGTTTGATTTATATAACAAAATTCAAGAAACATATATTTATCACAGATTTCACACATATTGAACATACCCGGTATGTCAAAATGTGCTTTAGTTAACAGTTCAGCATGAAAAACAGTTGACCATGGATATTCAACGTATGTTGCTTGTAATGTTTATAAGTTGATTAAACGATTGATTGCTGAATTGGACGATTTTCGTATTGAGAATCCAAAAACTGAATAGTCATCACAAACATAACGTATCAAATCAACTAGAGACAAGTCTTAAACAATGTACACAAAACAATCTATATTTATTTTGCAAGTCTTTCTTACTCAAGAATACATTTGTAATTCATAATTGAATTTTTAAAGTCAAAACAACAATGGAACCACACTCATTATCATTCAAATTTAATATTCATATTCCTTTGAATGTTTGACATTATGAAGTTAATCGTCTTTGATGTATTCCCGAAATTCTTCTGGGGACATATCAATACAAACCGTCATTTAGGAAATGAAAACCAACGTGCGATAGTGGGCATGATTTGTTTCGAGGATGTAATTTGTGGCAAGGGAATTTGTGATATTGTGGCGATTATTCCATTTCAAGAACCCAGATCCCCCTATTAAAACCAAATTTCCAGAAAAGCAACCCTAAAATAAAAGAAAGAATCAATTTCAGCTGTCACGGCCGATATAAATTGATTTCGAAACTACTGTTTTATACCAGCTGCTGAAATAGCTGAGGCAAAACAGAAAGAAAGAGACACGTACTTTGTTGAAGTAAGATTTTATAAAGTATTTCATTTTATGTCTAATGTTACATGTACATATTAGAACTGCTAACAGTCTTCAAACAAATATGTGTACACAAAGCAAAAGGCTTAGGTAGTTCGTTTCTGATCCATATGATTTAAACTGTTGTCCTTTCTGACATATTTTTTAAAAGCACAGCATTGTCATGCAATAGGAAGGGAGAATTAGATACATGTAGAATGTGCTTTGGTACATTATGTATTTATTCGTTTCTATAAAAGAATTCACACAAGACGTGAACTTACGACGCAGACCATCTCGAAGTATGTGCAAGCTCAAGAGTGCCCAAAAGGATAGTGATGAACAATAGCATAATCTGCCAGAAAATCTCCTTTCATCGCATCATCCTAATCTTAATTATACGTGATAAAACAATCTTGTATGAGACCTCTTAACAAGCAAGTCCAAAACTTAATTCTTCACTGACCGCCACAGTAGTTCAGTCGGTAGAGAGGTCGTCTGTGATTGAAAGGCCGTTGGTTCCAGCCCCAGTCGCGACAGACCAAATTAGGTAGCAACTGTTACTTCGCCAATCGCTCGGCACTTTGAAGTGAAAAAAGATGTCCCGTCTCACTGTAGGAGATGACCCGATAAAGATCTCTCACTGTTCATGGCCCTGAGTGCGGAGTATATGTCTAAAATTAAAGCCCTTCACCGGTACATGCTGACGTCTTTATATGAGTACACAATGCTCGAATGGGACGTAAAACAACATAAAATCGATCAATTAGTCATTGTTCACATACGTGTTAGTAATTAATGTACTTCCTTCTTTACGAAATACCACCTTGATATGACCCTTATCAAAGTTTTAATATTCGTATATTTCAAGGAAAATTTCAAAATTCAAGTATAACAATTTTTTTGTACGAACAACACTTCTTGGGCGAATCTGGTCAAAACATTGGATAGCAATAGATAACACGAATGCCTCACTTATTTAAAGAATGATCTATTTTGAAATTGTTTCATACAGCATTATATCTCCTCTTTGCCAGTGTAGGAATAAACTATAAGATTACATAATCACGCAGACATCGCCTACCCTAGCCAATTTTTAAGAATAAAATTGCGTAAATGCACATTGTCAACGCAGTAAAATGGTTATATGTATGTAATAAATGAACGTGCAATAGATGTTTGAGACATTTTTTCATGTTATCAAATTATATAATATGAATGCATATAATTTGACCATGGCGAAGTCATTAACACACCGATAAAAAACTTTAAGTGATGAAAGCTTATTCAGCACACAAACACTTCAATCAGACCCCGACCCAATAATCCAATTACCAGAGTAATATTGCCGATTTGAAAACAAATATTAAAACACATTTCCGTTAGAAAAGGCTTAAATTATAATATTTTTTGCTACATTTGTAAGAATATTCGATCAAGAATGCATGAAATAAAGTGACCAAATATCTGTTACATAATTTTTTGAAATTTGATCAGAAAAACAAGTT